TTAATTAATTAATATACATTAACTATTTAGCGCCCAGCTATCCATCGTCCACTTTACTCGTGCCCACTTGATCCCGCGCCCAGTCGGCCTCGCCGAGTTAACCGTGCCCATTTGGCGGTGTTCAACTGTCCCATTCCGTAAAAAAAATGTTTCAATTGAAGAAATTAGTACAAAATTCAATTAAATATTTTAAGATGTTAATGAAATGCATTAAAAAAAGTATTGTATTTAGTCACTAGATCAAGTAATCTGATTCTGAGTATTTATATATAGACAAATTAATGATTATATGATTTTCTATGGTAATTTAATATATTGTCAACTACCTGAGAAACAATTTTTATTTTTTCAAAAATGGCTATTTTCATTTAAATTTAAAACAATAAGCTCTAAAAATTGAACAATAATAAATGGCTTTTACTGAAACTAACATGTATCGAAACTATCATATTAATTAATAATATAATTTATTTGAAATGCCTAAGCAATAAATCTCGATTAAAAACTTTGATGATATTAATGACTGTGTTAATGAGTGAATTTTCATTTTATCTTAAATTGATGAATATCAAATATAAAATTAATTAAAATTTAAACATTTAGGTGTTTCTTACCTCCTATTGATTTTAGACCGGAGTCACATAAAGCTGAAGAACAGGCGAAATCAACTAGCAATGTTATTAATAACATAAGCCATAGTACTGTATGTGATGACCGACTGCGTCGGTTTATTGTTGCAAAATGTTGTCGAATCATATTTATAGCAGCAACCACCATTTTCGATCAATTACTATTTGTAATTATCAATAAATTTCAATAATCCTGTAATCAGTGAAATTAAAACTATGGAAATTTATTTAAAAAAAAAAAAAAAAAATAGAAATTATGTGTTTCTATGCACGCGTTTAGAGACAAGGGGTGATCTTAATTTTGGCCAGGCAGGTACCAACTAAGCACTTAACTTTTTTTAAATGTACCTACCTAACTGTTTCATATTACCGCAGCAGCAAAGATAACTCTAATTTTCAAATTATGTTTTATTCTACGTATAATTTTAATTATATTACGTTATGTATACAAGTTTACGTATAATATAAAATTGTAAAAATGTCTTTTAGAGGATTCTTTTTTGTTAAAAATAATCCAGGTGACATACTGTTGGCTGATTTCATGTGCAAATATCTATGGTTGTATGATCTAAAAATTTAGACTACAAATAACTATAAATTGTGAGATTTTGGAGTTTTTTAAGCTCCGAAAACGACCCACGAATTCTAGGGCTTATGATCCGTGACCTATTAGCTGTAACGCGTGGGGAATTGTTAGACTACCTTCAACAGAACTAATAGATTTTAAACACGCATTGGTTAAATGAACACCAAAGATTTATTTGTAAGAGAATAAGGTGATGTTAACTAAATAATTAATAATAAGAAGTAAACTGAATTATAAAAATATTAAGCAGATTACATTTCACATGGGCACAAAAGTGAAAAAGTAATAATAAGATTGGCTTTTACAAATAGTATAATAATTTGCGTATAACAAATAACAATAATAATAATTTTGGTTGTAATACAATTGATTTCACCATAGGTAAATAATGATGTTTTTTTATTATATAATAATTTTGAACATATAGCTTAGGCATTGAAATAATAATAAGAAGTATGAACATTGTCAAGACATATCTTTTAAGGGAAAATAATAGGACCCACGTTATGCGACGCCTAGGTACGTGCCTCTACAAAAAAGAGGGGTTATCCCGAGTGGGTCCCGTTATTAATTTTTACCTTTTTTATAGCCCTAGTGCGTCCGCCGTCTTATCGACAAATTATAATGAATAGGCCAAGCGCGTCCTCGGTCCACAGCTGCTATAAGTATCTATTTAAGATAAAAGTATTGTACTAAATTTTTTTATAATTATTTACAATACACGGATTAAGTAATGGTCATTACATACCTTTAGTGTATTTTTACTTAATAATAAAGAATGCGAATCATATGCAAAATGTTTTAATATATTAAAAACTGAATGTTTTAAATTAAATTTATGTTGTTCTCCCGAACATATATTTGCAGATTTTTAATTATCTATTCATCTCAACGCATTAAAAGTTTGGCTAACTATAATTATTAAAGGATGTCGTTTCCATTTGGGACAAGCATGGTGGCGTTACATTCAAAATTTGGTGTTGAGTAAAGATTATCGTGACCAAACAGAAATAGGTTTATTTTTGAAAAATATATTTGGTTTACCATTATTAAATCAAGAAGATGTAGAAAACTGTATTATTGAAGATTTTATATCTATAATGCCGAAACATGAAAAACAACGAATTTATGGATTATATTATAGAAAATTATATAGATTCTGAACCAAAATTTCCTATTTCCCTGCAGGCCGAAATGAATAGTAGTTCAACATCACCCAGACATATACATAGACCCATACATTTTTGGAAATATTAAAAAAAAAAATCAACTTGATACTAAAATAGCAATACGAATGGCCACACAAACAACAAAAAAACCAAAGGGAAGTACGTGCAAGAAAATTACTTACATCGAAGACAATATAAACAATTTTAAAATAATAAAATATCAAGATTCAGTTTTGTCAAATAATGGCATTTAAACACCAGCCTATATAAATATATAATAATAACAAACATTTTTTAAATAAATTGTACGCTCACCTTAATTTAACGGTTTAAGCTAAAATAAATTAATAATAATAAAAAAAATAATATTTTTGGGGTGTAAGCCAGTTCACCTCCTCGTGGTGTACCCTGGGTAATTCTAAATGAACTGGGGACGCATTCGGGCTATGTAAACATTATGACCTTTTTTTCTTGGGACGCACTCGGATGATACTTTATTCTGGACGTACTAGAAACATTAAAAAAGGGTCATTTCGGGACACACTCGGGAAACTCCCAAAAAAGAGGACAAAAGGGGGGAAATCATACAATAAACCATACGGAACAGTCTTATGTTGAGATGATGTTTGATGAACACCAGCTAACTGTTAGATACTCGACGTTGGACATTTTGGCCATCCTCGGCCTTCGAGGTGACTTCTAGCCCATCGTAGTGTGATAAACAACGGCGATGAACATGATCATATTATACATGAGGACAATCTACCCAGTGTTGAAACAATATAAGCAGAGTCAAAAATCCATATGGACAATAATATAGGTACGAAATGAAACCAGAAGCAAAACGTGTTTATGCTAGGCCGTCCGTTGCAAAAAAAAAAAAAAACGAGACGAGACAGAGTACCAGCGCTGGTGGCTATTGATTCCAGGTTGATCGGCGTGTGTAGAAGATAAATTGTTATACAATAATGATAATAATGGGATAACATGTTGCACTGTCGCTGTCGTTATGCATCACGACTTCTCGAACGGCAGCAACAAGGGCGATTGTAAACTCTCCCGGGTCTTCTCCAGTACTACCTGACGGAAACGTGTAAATTCTCCCGGGCTTATTCCTGTACTACCTGTCGGAAACATGTAAACTCTCTCGGGTTTAGTAAAAATCATAAAATAAATTTAATATACCTACATTTAAGTTGCGTTTAAAAATAGTTAATCATATATAATAACAATATAAATTTATGTCTTTAGCTGCTATGAGCTATAATATTATAGTCAAAATACAATAAAAAATAAGATCTCAAAAATCTAATATACATTTAAGTTTCTTTTAAAAATAGTCAATAATAATAACAATGATAATATAAGTTACAAATACAAAATATACGTAAAAATGTTAAAATTATTGTTTTTAATAATAAGAACATGCAGATTTTAAAATCATTTAAAACAACTCGGGAGAGTTTACATACTTCCTACAGGTAACTTTTAAGTTAACCCGGGAGAGTTTACATATTTACTTTAGGTAAACATAATTTTGACCCGGGAGAGTTTACACATTTACTGCAGGTAAACATAATGTTAACCCGGGAGAGCTTACAATCAGGAGAATTTGCTATTTTTAAAAATCGGGAGAGTTTACCACCGCCCAGTAACAATCCGTCCACAGCTGTTGTGCATGACTACTGAACTTTGCGTAGAGAGGGGGAAGTAGTATGTACATACATAACGTTGTAGATTACGCAATTAATAGATTGCGCAATAAGTGCGTTAATAATAATAATGATAATAATATTAATTGTATAAGTATTCAAAATAATAATATTAGCTAAAAAATGCTGTGACGTTACAAAATAAGGGGCGATGAGATGTGTTACTCTGGCAATCATTTGTTAAATTATACATTTCAGAACCCTGCAGTATATATTGTGTATTTAATTTTGAACAATTTTTACAACACTTGAAAATATTAAAATTAAAATTTGATTTTATGGCGATAAAGATACCCTTGCACTAAAATCCAATACTTTTAACAAATGTAAAATTAAACGTTGTGGTATACGTCCTTGAAATTGACTCACAATCATATTTATGAACTCCAAACGGTTATCAAATGTTTATAAGATAATCCACCTGCTTTGTCCGATCGTCTTCAAAACAACTCCAGTTATTAGTAAATAGTTAGCAAATAAAAACTGCATCATTGGAGAATTGTTTTAGATTTTCTTCTGTCCATACCCCTGTTAGTTCTGAATACGATTAACTTAAATTCTTCCATCAAACACCAAACAAAATTTGGATCCCACTTTCAGGTAAATATGAAGACGACCCTTGAAGTGGTTCCCAAAAATTTAAAATACAATTTATTTAACATATCACACGTCTTTTGACGTCATTGGCACTTTTCAACTAAGTGTAATCTAGCGCTGGATATACTATTATGTTTATATATTTATTAATTTTAGTCTCATCGTACATAATCTACTACAA